CGCAAAATGCAAAGTCTCTAGAAATACAAGAACTGAGGAGGAAGCTTCAACTGCTACACCGACGAATTGTGAGTCCCTGTACGATGCATCAAACCAAGCAGAAACTTCCAACCGTCCTTGGCCAAAGCTTCTCATTTAGAGACAGCAAGTTGTGCAGGTCTTGTCCATCTCAATTGCCGCTGTTTCTGTGTATTTTTAGGGGGGGCAGGGAGACGATTCAGGTATTGAATTGTTCAAGCCCAAACAAACTGAGTGCCGTCTAAGAAACATTTTGCAAAACAATCCGAAAAGCACTAAGCCCCCTATCTTTGGAAAGTGTTGTCCATCTCAGAATTTGTGGATGCTGTTTGCCGAGAGGCTGAAGCTACTGAGAAGCAAATATCAGCACTAGAGGTACGCTACATACTTGAAGTGTTCCCTAACATAACTACAAATCGGAGTATATATGGTCCATCTTTTACTTCTGCTATATAGGCAACGAATGCGGCTCAACGCGCTACTTGCTTCAGACCATACCCAGCCTTTGCTTTCAAATGGAATGCTACAACTAGGCATTTGCAAGATTGCAGTGCCGCTAGATGTGTGCAGTGACTGTTGTGCCAGAATGCAGCATGCGCGTCATAGTAGAACAGGTATTTCTTGTTATATGATCAGTTTTTCGGATGAGTTTGTTTCTCGTGTCCTTTCTGTGGGAGCAAGGCTGCTGCCCATGTCGAAGCCAAGGCTGCCGATGGGCAAAAGCGTGAATTCGTCGAGTCGCAAAAAAGGGAGTTGTTACAGCATGAGCTAAAGAAGCAGAGAGAGATTATGGAGGCTCAGTGGAAGGTTAGGCTGCCACGGGGCTCAGACGTGGTTCTGTCATGTGGCATTCCTAACAGTGTTGGCCATTAAGGACTGTATGAAGCAAGTATTCATTTCACATCTGAACACTGTTGAGCTGCAGCTCTCCAGGATTGCAAAATTTGAAGAACTTCGTAGCATGCAGCTCGATCAATCGAGCAGTGCTGCAGCGCAGAAGGAGGTCAGGACCTATTTTTTCAACTTCCAGTTGAAACAAACACTTGTAGATCAGAGACCCTGCAAACGGCCGCTTATCCTTGAGAAGTATTCTACTTGATTACTTCACCCTGTTTTACTCAAGACCACATACACTAGAGGTAATCCTTTATGCCTGCGAACACCAAGAATTAAGGCGTGCGGGGTCCTCTGTATTGCAATGTGCTGGCTGTAGCTATTAGCAGGCTGTCAGGAGGCTGAGCTCCACGATCTGAAAGAACTGCACAGTCGCCAAAGAATTCTTATCCTCAATCAGTTTTTCCACCAAAAGCAGCGCGAGGCCAAGGAAAAGTTCTAGTAAGAGTCTTTCGGTGCTTGGGGATGTTGGCGTGTTCCACGGGGGCATCAGTTGCCTGCTCCCCCTTATGCGGACCACCCCAGCCGAATCTATTCGTTCTGCAGCTCTGCAAAGAATATCTTAAACGGTTCGTCAGTCACGGCAGAGCATGCTCATGGAAATCAGGGCGACGAAACTTCTGTCCCAGCAGAGACGGCAGCATCAGAGGACATTGATGTGAGTGGGATACCTGGTCCTCCCCCTCAAGTCAATTAACCGCACGCCTGTATTCACTATTACCTGCCATTCTCCATGGAAGGCTGACAGCGCAACTGTATTCGGTGGTTCTCGCTCAGGATTATGTCAAAAGAGCTATGGCCGCAAAAGCTGCACAGGTGAACTGATTTTCATCCCTGTCCTCTTCAGTAATTGTGACCTTGTACAAATGTGCAAACTGCGACGCTGTACTCATAAGATTTCAGGAATGTAGGTGAAAAAGTGAAGATTCTGCTAATCCTCTGCAGGTAGCGGCACATGAAGAAGAGGAAGTCAAGGAGCTGAAGGAGAGACATTACACCGAACTTGCTGAGGTCGGTCAGCCTGCGGCGGAATCCGAGATTCTGAACCGCGCCATATCCTTACCATTATAGCGCAACGCTCGCATTGTCAAGCATATATGGTACTGTCTGTGTCAATACAGCTGGTGAAAAGCAATGAAAGCGCCACGAAGGGGCCAACAGCATCAGTGAAGGTAAGCTGAAGAGCAGAGCAAGCTGTCTCAACAACAAGTGCTGGTTCTCCCCCGACCAATAATAACAGCAACTACGGTCCCCCTAGATACGTATCTGGTATCCCAAAAAGTCGGCGATGTTCCTGAATAATGCGTGCGTGCGCAATGAGCGTGGGACATCTCAGACAGTCCACGTGGTGTCCCCTGATGAGCACACGAGGTGCGAGGAAGCTACGCTTCACGAAGGAGCAAATTCGTCTTATCAAACTGGAATTACCGTTGAGAATGCTCCTAGCACGGTCGTCGCTGAGTGGCAAAGACGGATGAGGGTTGGAAGCTGTGCAAGCATTCTGGTTTCCAAGGAGGATGGAGCTGATGCAAAGGCAGCTGCCATTTGCAAGCATCTAGAAAAGTTTGTCAATGCCGTGATTCGGGTGCAGAGAGAAGAGAGAGATCGGCAGAGCAGAATAATTGAGGAGAAGTTGGCTAAACGTAACGAACGGCGCCTAGCCAAGGGGAAGCACAGGAGGCGAAGCACTGCGATAAAAAGGGATAAATCTTCTGTAAAGACAGTAGAACACTGTGTCGCAGCCATTGTACTTCGCCGTCATGTGCTTCCTGATAGAAAGTGTCATTCACTCGAAGCGCATGTGGCCATCAGCCTTCGTAACCATACGCATTCTTGCCCGTTTTGTCTGAACGATTTTTGTCAGGGGCCTCGGAAGAGTGTAATGGATTTTAAGGTTGAACGGTTACAGACAACCCAACAGAAAGAAAAGCAAATGAAGTAGGATTCGCCACACGTGGAAACGCTGACTCAAACACCACCTTGATCGTAAACATGCCCTGCGCCTTGCTGTTCTTTTCTCAGAGAGCAATGGAAAGCAAAAAGGGATGCCCTTCAGAAATGGCATCCTCTCTTTTGGTGCATTGTGGAAGAAGAAGCCAAGCACGGGTCCTACGAAGCATTCGAATATTCTGCAAGCGTAGTCGGTAAGACCGAAGGCAGGACCTGCCACCCGGCACAGGTTTGTCGCTGTTTGAAGCGCCTGCAGGGTAAACCATTTGGATCGGCAGTGTCTGCGTGCAGCTCGTGGGCCAACTTTGTGCAACATCGATCGCGTGATAGTCTCACTCGAAGAAGGGTCGTTCCTTAGAAATATGATTGCAAACCTCGGAATACTTGGAAAGGCATTCAACACCTTGGGGGCAATGCCAGATTATCTGACAGCCGAAAGCGAAAGCAGTGAATCGGGCTCAAGCTCTCCTTCCAGCAGCAGCAGCCAAACAGAGGTGCCAAGGCAGCGGCGGAAAGTCTCGATAGCCTCCGCACCGTCGTCGCACAGCAGCGAATCTAGTGGAAGTTCCGATGAAAGCCGTAATGAGGGCAGCAGCAGCGAAGAAAGCAGCAGTGAAGACAGCAGCGAAGGAAGCGGAAGTAACGAGAGCAGTAACACAGAGGAAGTTGGCAGGCATGCCCAGACGCAGGCCGATAGGCAGTCAGCTATGGCAGCTTTGGGTAAGCGAAATGCTCTCCCCAAGGATGAACTGATTCACGAGACCTCAAGCGCTTCCTCAGCCGAAAGCATGGAGTCGAAAAACTTTCAACAAGCTCAACCAGGATGGGACAGAACAGGCAGTGCGAGCAGTGAAAAACCCGAGAGCAGCAGCAGCGACGACAGCGATGAGTCCAGTATCGGGAATAGCGGTAGTAGCAGCAGTGCGAGTACCAGCAAGACTAGCAGCGAAAGCGGCAGGAACTCTATCGACGAGACAAGTGGTGATAGCAGCGAGGATGTTAGCAGCGAGTCCAGCAGCAGCGGGAGCAGTGGAAGCAACAGCGCTGAAAAACCCGATAACGAAACCGAAGAGAGCCAGACTACCAGCAGGAGTGGAAACGAAAACGGCTCGGTCGCGATAGAGAGTAGTCGTGCCTCTCAGCCAGCCAGCGCGGAAGCAGCAGATGTTGAGAGCTCGTCCAGCTCGTCGGGGAGCAGCAGTTCATCTGAAATAGAATTTCCTGAGGCCATCAGAAGTTCGGATGCATCTCAGAACTCATCTTCTCCACGTAGAAGTGTGGACACGCTCAATGGGCCAAGGCTCCAGGGCAGAGGCACCAGCCCAAACGAGAGTACTGGGGGAAGTTCAGGCAGCAGTTCCACTAGCCGGCCGTCGAGTCCAGCCGGTACTGAAACGAACAGCGATTAGAGCGTCCGCTATCTTCGCATTTCTGCAGGCACCACCTCGCCCCTACGTGCTACCCGCTGAGTTTTCTTCACTTTCTTAATGAGTTCCAATGGCAGCATCGAGAGGCGCCAAATACCATCAAAGCGCCATCAGCGAGCTTGTTAACTTACGTATGCAGAGAAACATTGGAAGTTGTACCCACGCAAAAATACTTCATCTCTTTCTACGCCTTGGAAAGCCGCCCTACGTTACTGCTTAGTTTCTTGTCTTCGTTTTCAGTGCACGATGAAACCGAATTATGGTGCTCCTTGTGGACAGCACTAGGGGTTCTGCTATCGTGGATGTAGACCAGCTCTTTCGTAGGGAAAATATTATATCTAGTGCTAGCTAATAGCAGACAATTCAGTGCATGTCCTACTCCCTAATGTCTTCCACAAGCTGTTGGGGAGTTCCAGCATATACCAGAATCGTTTAGGGTGGAGTTTTCAGTGTTTCTCCACTCTTGCTACATTACTGCCACACACTACAAGGCGCCATGCACCTTTGTGGTATCCTGGACACTCTACGTCCCCCGAAATCAATTGACCTCCCCCTCTTTTTTTTAGCGACGGCACTCCGATTCTCAACCATCCTGTGCCCCTTTTGGGTGCCTGTATTAATTAATCAGCAGCCGGTAAATATGGGTAACTGACTTCCATTATCCGACATTCAAACAAAAACGTCGGTGCATGCACCTACTTTTCGCAAGCCCTGCTGCAAGATCCCCCTGGTTCCCCAAGTTCCCTACGTACTGATGTGTTGAACCGCCAGAGGAAAGAGGTGTTAAGGGGGACAAAGCAGATGTCAATGTTTGGCATATTTCTGCAACACTGCAAAAGTTAGGGTGCGGGAGTACCCCACTAATGTGTGCTGCTGACAGTGCGGCGGAGGGCATCTTGCTGACCCAGGAAAATCATGCGTGACGTGCAAGGACAGCCGCACTATACTGCGTGCATCCTAAGCATTAAAAGTGCAGGACAAGCCGACTCCAAAAAGCAACATTGAAGAGCACATGATGTGAGGATTCTGGAAGTAAACCGAAGCAAAGCGCTGAAACATACGAAGCATGGATATAAGCCTTTGACTTGCAACGATGCCGGTAGATATCCTAATGGGACGGCTCGGACTCAAACGGGAGCCAATCCCGACGTGTGAAGCATGAATATATCTTAGGCTTTGACTCCGAGCTAGCCAAGCCGATGAGCATGCAGGTATAAAAGTATGGCTCCCTCTTTGCACCGAAAAGCAGCTGCATACGAAGACTGAAAGAAAGCACGGCTTGCCCTGCGCCTAAGCACGCGTGCGGTAGCCGTCACTGAAGCATGGAAAGCGTGTAGGAGCTTTTAAAGGGATTTTGGGGCCAATGCAGATATGAGAAATCCACTCGCGTTGCCTGTAGCCTGATGTCTTTACGTAATGTCTTTAATTATTCTGAATTCTGTGCCTCGCTAGACGTAATTTCAGTATTTGTGTCTCTTCTTGCTCGTCTGTCGTACAGTTAGATGGATGGTTGTGCCGAGAGTTCGATGGGGCTTCAGGGGTCCTCTGCTTTGTTGTGGAATATCTACACTTGCAATTTGGAAAGCAATTCGTATGGACGATATAGTTGTAGTTTATTCGAGCTGCGCACCTTGCTAAGCGAACATATCCGCTAAGGCCTAGTGGAGTGAATTAACAGTATCCGTCAAAAGTATTTTTCCGTAGTTTCCTTGCTGACATTTGTTTGCTCTTTATATTGTATGTGGTTGCTGGTACCCGGCCGCATCCGTTCACAACAGAAGGCTCCCAGAAAAACCTGGAAGGTTCTCGAGCGTGCATGAAGAGACACGAAATGATATTTCCGTGTATACCAGAGGCTGGGGAGCCTCCGGGGGAGTATACGATTGTATTACAGCTTGGTTCCAGTGTGGGCTGCACGTAATGCACCAGGGGTTCTCCTCACTGTTTTGACTGTTAGCTTCCCCATGGTTTGCTGTGGCTAGAATGATAGATTTTGATCTTCGCCATGAAGCTAGGTGGTGTCAAGCTCTCTGAAAAAGCCAGTAACGCAAGGCAATGCTAAAAACTTTCCCCTTAGTCGCTTCGCTCTCACGGCGAAAAACCCGTTGGCAGGACCCTAAGAAGAATTGGAAGAGGAGCTTCAATAAATACGACAATGGTTGTTTTGTGGCTTTGGAGGCTCCTACTGTACGCCTCGTCCTACCAGCATGGTTGTTGACGCATTTTCCCGCTGCCCTACCGGTAGGGTCTCACGTTCTAACTGTCCTTCTGTGTAATGGCTTTTGTCCGTTGAACTTCCTTTTTCTTTCTTCCTGTGCACGTACATGTATGCTGCTGCAAGTTTTACCAAGTTCAAAAGTGGACGACTACGGCCCAGGCTAGGCAAAGGCGAAGCGCATAGCAGACCACTTGAACTTTCTGGTCTTACCTCCCACAAAGTTCTGCGCAAAGTGTACGGATGTGCTTTAGCTGGTCATGGATAGTTCATTTCAACACTGAAGTATCCTTTAGTCACCAGCTATGTGTCCGGCCCTTCTGTGAAAGGAGATGAGTGGAACAGCATTATTCAGTGCTTCTCTGGGTCGTCAGAGCGCTAAAAGAGCACAGCGTTAACCACTGTATCTGCAGCTTTGCTTTTGAGGGAGGTGTTCTCGAAAACCAGGAAAAGGCTGAAACAGGACGAAGATGCTGTTTTTGGCGGATCTTTCTGTCTATCTCGGGGCGTGTTTCTTGCGTTTATCAAGAACGAACGTCGGCCAGCAATGTAGCGGCATACCCTACTCCCGGACTGACCTTTCGGTAGTATGACGCGAGACCAGGACACTGTTGGGCGTGTAAGACAGCGTAGAACCCCACAACTGGCCAGAGGCTCATGACCCTCTGCTGCAGAGACCAGACAATTATGCCTGAGCCTCTGCTGTAAAGACACCAAGCAATTGACTGGCCGGTACACTGGTGCCTTTACGAAAGCTACGCACATGCAAACTATTAAATCAAGGGTAAATTGAAGTGCCACCAGCACTACTGCATGGCTTGCCGGGTGGGTGTAACTGTCAGGAACGGAGTCTAGCGAAGTAGTAGACGCGAGAACAAGCAGCATCATCTGCATGAGGTGGGTCCATGTAATTCCTGTTGCCCCACGGTTGGCAACTGACCCAAGAGGGTTGCAGCTCAGGTGAAGGCCAGGGGCTTGTTACAGAACAGGGATCACTGAACTAAATAGAACAAGAGCGACATAAGCCGTGCCTTGCAAAGTTGAGACTAGGCGAAACAAATCCCAGTTGGGATAGCCTTTACAATGTGGAAGTTGAAGTTACAAGATTATTGGCCCGATTGCCGAGGGAGCCAGCAAGGCAGGAAATGAAACTATGATAGCACTAATTCAAATATACCAGTGCACTCCTTGAGAAATTCGAACCGAAGCATAACTTTACCGGTTGATTCTTCTTTTCCAAGCACATCATCTGAGACGGAGACTTGCTGTAGGGTGGGTATGCGTGGACTTCAGAACAGGTGAGCCTACACATTTTCTGGCGTCTTTTGCCAGTCTTCTTGACGTAGGCAGCGATATTCAGTTTTGTTTTAGTTGCATGCATTACAATTTCTGCAGCTGGTGCAGAAGTTACGCCGCGCAGCATGCGAGCGAATAAGCCGTTCCCTTTGCAAGAGAGGAGGAGACTTGAAATCAGAGGCAGCCAGGGCAGCAAATAATGTGGGCTGCGCACAATCCGAAGGAAAGAGTGTGCAATGGCACTTTGCTCATTTTTGAGGCGAGAAAGGATACCTAATGCATACAGATAGCCGATTGGCTTCTTGTTTCAATTGAGATGGAAATTCCTCTGCTCAAATGCCTTCAGGGTTCAACGTTCTTGGAGTTCTGGGCAGTTCTGCATTGAATATTTCGGAGTTGTTCATAATCGCTTGTGCATGCCCTACTCTAGCTTGATTACTCTTTCGTAGAGTCTGTACAACTTTGCGCGTTACGAAAGGTTAAAGAAGTTTGCGTGATTCATCCTGCGACGGTTAAAGCGCTAAATTCAGTTTACGGGAAATGCACCGAAAGCATTACTTGACCCAAAGTGGAAGAAACGTGCTCCGAAGGACGTTGTACCGGTGGGGAGCAATTACGTGGAAGTCAGCTCCTTTCCTCGGCGTCGAAGAAAGTGTGTAAAAGTGCAAGGCAGAGACATTAGAGTTCCTCGCGCTTTCCAGTAACTGTCCCTAAGAATTCCGCGAGGATATTAACGATGGGAGGGCCGGTGTAAAGAATCCGCTTCTCTAGAGCTTGCGGCCCTTCTGGATAGACAGCAATTGAGGGGATATTTTGTTTCATGTCAAAATCAATTATGTCATTAAGATGGCCATCTACTTGGCCAAAGAGCACCTGATCTTTCAAGGCGTCTGTTGTACTGAAGACTTCAGCTACTTCTTTCCATGTTCTGAGGTATACTTGGCAGTCTGAGCATTCGGGTTCGTAGTAGAGAATACCAAGAGGCACCCGCCTGGCTTTCTGTAAGACGTTAAGGAACTGGACATGATTAAGTTCCATAACATGGCTTCCTTTGTCAGTGTAGGTTAGGCGATTCGAACGGAAATGAAGTTCCGCATTGCCCGTACTCCACTCCTTAAGGAACACCTGCAGGCTATGGTAGTTGAATGGCATCGACAAGGAATACTGAGTAAATGGGGAGTGTTCGCGCATCACACCTGCTACTTTTTGGTAGGCTGATGCGTTTGCCCGCTTATCCGCGATGACAGCACCACCCCAACTGTGGCTAAATGTGTCCCGGGACCTCGCCGCCTCTTTGAGTGTGTTCTTTGCTATGTGAAAAGCTATGCGATCACGGTATGTTTCGTAAAACTCCATCAACAGCCATGCAATGTCCTGCAAGTTTTCTAGATGGCTAACATAAACAGTAAGAAGCGCTCGTTTCCCAAGAAGCACGCGAGAAGGCCTGTCACCATAGAACAGCATCCGGTTTTCCGCTTCCAACAGCAGCGCCAAAATAGATTTGGGCTCCCACTGGGGTTCTTCTAAAGTAAGATATTCTTCCTCTCCCACATCAAAGGGCAACTTCTTCCTGTAAACACGAAACTCTTCTCGTTCCGAAGAGTCTACATGTTCTATGTAGAATAAGGTGAATCTGGAAGGGAGTTGTTCTGTGTTCTTCGAAAGCCGTACTACAAGCGCAGCCCGTTGGCTCCCTTCATGGACAAAAGCATGCACGACGGGACCCACTGGAGACCCTCGAGATGATGCGGTTCGAAAGGAAGCTGCAGATTGAACTGTTTTGCCTTGATGCAGCAGAATCCAGTGAGCAATTTCATCAGCGGCTATATTTGCACCATCATACGTTTTGTAGGCTGCGCTTCTTATGTTGGGACTAAGGTAAAATCGAAGACACGGGATAGTCTTGATACCCAAAAGCTTGGCTAGTTCCGTCTCCTTCACATTGACTACAGTGAGCGAGCTACCAAGGCTCCGCACCATCTTCTGCGCAAGCTGAGCCTCCCGAAGTGCTTCCTCAGAATACGGGCACCCTTCGTTTGTGAAAACAGCTAAGGTGGAATCCACCGTGGGGGTCCTTGTGTCTAAACGTTCGTTGAAATCACCTGCCGCAGCAAGCGTTCCCTTTTGGAGATGCAGCGCATCTTGAGTTCTATCCGCCCCGAAAAATACGATGCTCTCATCCTCTACTTTCTTCCGTGCGTCGTCTATCGTGTTTTCTTTGTCCTGAGGCTCGTGAATTGGCGTGTACAGGTTATACCATAGCCCTGAAATCGAGCTACTTACTTCACCTCGCTGGCGTTGCCTCGAGGATGCAAATATGAAGTTCTCATTTTCGCTCAGTAATGAAACACTGCCAAGCTCTTCTGGTTCTACAGCAATATGGCCGCTTACGAGGCAAAAACAGGAACCATACAAACTGGAAGTTATCAGCAGACGAACAAGTATGAATGGAAGCCTGTTGGCGAAAGCACGCTCCCGCCACCCCACCAGGGTCGACTGAGCAATGGTACAGGTTAATGGCATACCTAGGATATTTTGCCTCCACTCAGCCCCCAGGTGTAGCATGTTGGGCATCCAGTTCCCCGAAACCATCACAATTTCTGATGGGGAAACGAGGCACCTTCCTGCTCCGCCGAAGCGTCACATAAGCAGCAAGCTCGAGTGAAGAAATCCCAGCAAACTAAATTAAACGCCTTTTGCTAATCGGTCGGCTCCCGGGAGTGAAATAGGGAACGGCGCATTTAAATTACCGGTCAGCCGCCCTCACGCCAAATACCGACCCGGTGTGAGGGCAACAGCCAGAACAGCAGTAGCTGACCTAATCAGGTAGTTACAGGAGCCATTATTTGGCATTTCGGTACTTCTCTAGGAATATAAGGATAAGGAGCCTTCACCGGAAGAAGAGACACGGGTTGCGCTTGGCTGGATAGGCAGGAGCGTGCTGTCTCAGAACCTTGGGCGCCCCCCCGCTGAGCTATTTTTCGGCAACGAATAAACGTCCAGATGCATTACGGGTTGTTGGCCTTGTTGCGTGACGGCTGAAGAGTTTTCTAGCAGTCAGATGTACAAGGGTGCGAAGGCAACGGTGGTGCCGTGAGCTGTCGCCAATCTGCAGTGAAGCAAAAAAGCATTTTCAGGCAGTACATCTGCTATGAAAGCGTCTTCAAATTGCATTTTCTATTAAATGCACTTTCTTTTTGATAAGTTGCTTAGTTTATCTCAGCGTAGTGCAAACCATGTGAGCCAGCCCAGGGTTGTCAATAAGGTTGCGAGAGCCTGTGCTTGGTGGTTCAAACAAGATCACAACAAATGAACCGTTGAGACTCATATGCTACATATTTATGCTAAAAATGTAAATTCAAAGCTCCAGGGTTTTTACTTCGAGCTTACCAAGAAGAGATATTAGACAACTGGTATGCAGCATCACAGGCGCGCCTGTGAACCCTTGCCAACATCGATTTAGCCCCATATGAAAAGCCGTATCTCCTTCTCATTATTCTTAGAGTGTAAATTATGACGGCTTACTCTTTGGCGCTACACTTACTCATTAGACTTTCGTCGCCTCACTTTTTAGCTAGTAAGTAAATTTGAGACACCTGAGCTGCCGTTGTTCGGAACGTGGAAAACCAGTGTACATTGGCAATAGCTTACCAATAATGCCACTACGGAATGCATACACTGGTGAAACACAATTAGTTGCGGCGGCACCAGTAGAACAGAATAAGCAAGGGGTGTACCTTCCTTCTGCCCTCTGGCACACTCTTCCAGTGACCGTGATTATGCCTTTTCCGACGAAGTTCTGCACGCCGTATGGATCGCTCTAACTTGCACGAAATGCATCAGGCGATGTCGTTGCGCAATGAATAAGCCGCGCAATGCAGCATGAACAAGTTGTTGACTAGATTTGGGCTGAAACTAGCTCTACACTAGACGGCAGGGATGCTAGAAGCAGATGTAGCTGTTGTTTGAGCAAATGCTCGATAGACAAAAGAGAAGCAAGGCCAGAAGGGAGCAATCTGTAGAATGGTGGCGTTGTTGGGTGAGCACAGTGTGAAATATTCATGAACTCCAATGCCGAAAAAGCTGGCGTGCATTGCTGTTGATGCACTTGCACCTCTTCGGAACGACGGCTTACTTAATTTTCCTCCGCTTGCTTGTGTTTAGGCATCTTCAAAGTTAGGGTTTCCACATCATTAACGCAAGTTCTGGTGTGGGTGCGCGCCTTCTTCCCTGATACGAAAGCTCATCTATATGCTATAAGGTTAGGGCTATCAACTGTCTGGCCACCCTGTCTAGTGCCGGTGCATGATGAAGAGCGTTCGGGATTTTACTAGCTTTCTTTGCGTTGGTAAATCCCAGCTCAGGGGGGGGGCTATACTTCCAGCGATACTGAGCGAATCGACAAATGTGGTGATTTCCCGTCGATGTCGCTAGCTGCATCACCGCATTATATCAGAAAGCAGATTGGGAATAATGATTGGCGAGCCGGTTGGGTATATTTTTTTATACTGAACTTCATTGTCGTTGGGCGGCGATAGAGGTTGAATAATCATTCAAGCTGCTTTTGGCTTTATGTAGCGTTTGCATATGCGGTGATGTCTTTCGATCTTTCCATTTTCTCTGTGGATACCCCATATTAATAGTTTGTGCATTTGACTCACCGCCGTCTCCAGACTCCAAGAACGAGTTCGTCCCAGCCTCGTTGGTAGACTGCTCTTGGGATTTTGGCTGTTCGTCGAGTGTTGCTATGCACTCACCTTCCCCCTGACTTCCGAAAGCGGTGAATTCAGTCGTGGCAGCATTTGTGGCAGCTTCCTCATAGTTATCTGCGATGGCGGCACTTTGTTTTGGTGAGTTTAACGATGTATCTTGGGCCCTCGTGCGAGCTTCGTCCAGCGTTTTTTGCTCCTGGTCATTAAACCTGTTCGTGTATGCCCCTCTGTAGAGCAAGAAAGAAGCAAGCGTTGGAGAACCCGCTGCACCTGCAAGGTGGAAACAGGTGAGCCCCGCCTGAGGTTTTGATCGAAAAGAAGCCTCAACAGACGCACATGTTGCAGCATGACCATTGCCAAACGTGTATGGGGAGAGGCTAATATTGGTACAGCCCCATTGGCCTTCTCAAACGATTCATGCAGTAGGGGTTTCTCGACCTTCCCGTTGTTTTTCAGAAATCTGCGTGGGCCTCGTACATTATTCGTTCGGTTTGTGTCGGCTCCCTTGCTCAACAGCAGTGCTACGATCTGATAGCATTCACAAGTAATGGATGTAACTCTGCTTTCATGCACCATAACGATATCACGCGAAGAAGGGAGTATGCATTTTTCCATGTAGTGTTAAACGTGTAACGGAGCTTGCTTTTGTGGCCCTGAATGAGCGTAAGCACTGTGTACTTGCCTCTGTCCGTCGTGCATATACAGCAAGAAACAAGGGAGTATCGCCAGCCTAAGCATTGAATTGGAAAAAGACTGAAGCTGTTCGTAGCTAGGTTGCTGCTACAGATGCCGCGCTAGCTATTTCGGAAGTTTGCACGAAACCCCCCTCTGAGAGCCTTCCATTACACTTCCGTTGGCATCCTAGCACTCGCCAGCCTTACAGCTTTTCTTATGGCTGAGTGTAGAATGGTGAGGCGAGTATTCGGTTGCTCTAGTGTAGCCATCCCTAGGCAACTCCCCCGGGAAGTGAAAATGAGTGCTGCAGGGGGAACGTCAATGCTTATTTATGTGAGCTGGCTGCTGAATGGAACAGCCTACATAATCGGGGAGATCCAAGCTTGCACCTCTTTCGATCAGCAGCTCGGCTATTTGTTGTTGTCCGTGCAAAGCAGCTTCGTGCAGGGCAGTTGATCCACGTACGTCTTGGTGATTGACGCTAGCCCCCCGATCGAGGAGGAGGCGCGTTACGGCTTCATGGCCACGACAGGCAGCGTGCCACAATGCAGTGCGACAGTACTACGGATCAAAAAGAGCATAGGCAGAAGCTACTAACACTATGTAATTCATAAAAGGTAGGCCCCTCTTGCGTGCAAAGACTAGCCTATTTTTCCGGCTATGTTGGAAGCGCTGGTTAGGGTTGCAGATCTGCATGAAAAATCGTTCAATTTCTGTGCTTATTTCTTGCCGGTTTTGCAACTATCCCAACTATTTGCTCCTGCAAAACTAAAGTTGATTGCCGTACTGGAGGCTCCGCAAAATCAAGAGTTGGGAGAAGTTTCATCAACTCCCTGCAGTCGCGGAACTTGCCATCCCGAGCGGCAGCCACCAACTTCCGACCTGCCTCCTAAGCCACAGAAAATGAGACAAACTACTTTATAATCTTCCGCCTTTGAAGCCCATCAAAGCAACTCTATCCCGAACCCGAAGGATTGTAAGCATCAGGCACCCTCATCAGTCAAGGCAAAGCGGCGGCACAAAACTTCAAGGGTTCTGTAGTTGGGCCATCGCGGCTCACAGTCATGGTGCCGACTCAGAGGCTCCGTTTCAGAGAACGTCCTTCGCAGAAATATCCCTTTGCAGTCCGACTTGAAAAATACAGGAATGGCATAAGATGCCACGGTAGTCGTCCGTCAACTGTCAAAGCACCCACGTATTGCAAATATTCCAATTATTTGATGGAATGGACAGGGACAAATATATGGGGAATGCGCTGTGTGATCACAAGCATGCCTCGCTCTTCTCACGGACAGTGGAAGTAGGGCTGCCCAGGTTGGCACAGCAATATTCCCCTACCCCGAGGAGTATGCGGTAGCAAATATACGCTTTTTGTAGGTGCATACATCAACCTGCGTTCAACCTTGAGGACTACGGGTTACCCAGTTTGGCTTCCCTTTAGACCGCAAGCCGAAGTTTCGAACTCTAAAGCAGTTGAATTACCCAGCAATACGCAGCCTTAGTTAAATATAAAATTAATGTGGACTGCATCATTTGGCCAATTTTGCGTGTTCGTCTAGGCATGCGCTGGCGATGCATGCGTAATAACCGTCAGCTCGTTGAGGCAGGGCTGCAGAGACTGTGGTGCCTATATCTACAATTTGTGCGGAACTTAGCTTTGCAATGCAAATATTGTAATGCAATAGCTCGCCCCAAGGCTGAGCTTCACTTTGATTATTTGCGGAAGGTAGCCTTAGCCTAATCCGCAGGGGCAGTGTAGGGCGGCATAGGCTGGGCGCATGCAGCCCCGAATCCGCTTCGAAAAATTGCTTCTATCATAAGAGCTAGCGGCTGATTGAAAAGCTGGCATTTGCCTCGTCACTTTGTCACACTGTATGACAGTAATCGGCTTGCGCCGAAGGTTTCCCCTTCACCAATATTACTCGCGTAGCCGCAGCCAGCTGCCCTTGTCTCTTGTCTAGGCACTGCGCTGGTGTTTCACTAACATACTAACTTGTTCTCCAATTGAATATACAATCTACCATGCTACTGTTGGCAGTAACAACCCTTTCCGAATAGCAGGCATTTACTATCGCGTGCAAGTATGGAATGCAGTGTAACGATACGTGTGGAAGGGTATTTCTCAAGTTTGGTGCGTGCTTCCCTACTTGCGTGCAGGTTAACTGATGGCACGAGAGGTCAAAAAATCCTTAGCGAGCTAACGTG